CATGCCACTAAAATCATTCTTTTTAGATTTTAGATAGTTCTAGAATTGCCGATTGTTTGATTATGGGTCACCTTTTGCGGATGTTGATTCCAACATACAATCATTGAGACTCTGATCACCTTTGGCGTCCCATCATATTGATTTTCATTTGTTTTGATGAATAACGACACGTGTTCTACTCTTTTAAAGTAATTCTGCCTCATTAGTGCTGTCTCTTTCTACCGCGACTAAGATTAACTCGTTAAATAATTCAACGACAAATAGAATCAATAAAACATTCAATCCCTGAAAGGTCAACATTAGTATCGATTGAGGAGATATAAGGTGCGCGGGTTGGGGGGATAGAGGGGGCTAGGCGTTGTGCTGGCGGTGACTTGATGTGATCCCGGCCGGCCTGCGGTGACCTACATTTACATGGCAAGCGGCTGCTGGCTGCAATGCCGTACCGTGTGAATGCACTACGATTCTTACCTCACTACACAATACAGACACAACTTACCTGATATTTTAGACGAATAGCAAGATTAGTTCTTTGAATTGAAATAGTTTAGCAAATCAATCCTTCAATTGTTAGTCAGATGCAACAATAACTACAATGTGATTAAAAGAGGATAAAGAAAGACCGTTGTTTTGTAGTCTGGTTTAAAATACGCTGATTTTATCTCTCATATGTTAGTACTATACAGTGTTTAATTTGCCGAAATGTGTGCTCCTCAGTGTCATTTTTTAAATATGTCTTTTAAATACATTTCATCGTTTTATAGGACGCAAATTTTGTTATAAAAAATCGTTGCCGGCTTATTCAAGATGCGTTTAAAGTTAACATTTATTAAGACAAACAAAGGGACCACATTGCAGCGTCGGATGGGCCCACTATATGAAAACGTCAAAGAATGTCAAATAAAAAGTAATTTTGCAAGTTCTAAGTCCCTGAACCGAGCAACAAGTCTGCTGGGAGTCCACGCGAAATGGTGGTGCACGCCATTTAAAGACAAAACTTCTACCAAATAAGGGTAAGTATCCTTTGCATTTTTTTCGTTTGGTCGTAAAACCATTTGAGTGGCCGTACATTCTTTCGTTTACGACGATCATCTTACATCTTTTGAAGCAAAAAAAAATGTCTTAAAAGTACTTTATATTCGCGGGACATGCAACCAGTTTAAAAATTAACAAGTGATATAGTCATTAAGAGGCAAGTAAAAAACTTTCACTGTAATAAACAAAAAACATGAAGGTAAGATAAATTGAAGCCGTTTGAGAAAATGAATAGTTTTAGGAATTACATACATATTCAATAGGTAGCATAATTCTATAGAACAAAAGCTTTTACAATGAAAATTTCAACCTTAGTGGAATACACTTAAAACATGTTTAGTAACATATTAGTTATCTATCTCTAATTACATTAAAGTTTTTTTAAAACTAGAATAGAATATGGACATTAAAAAAAATTAAACACAACACTATCTATTGTGAACATTACAGATAAGAAATCGATCTGTAAACCTATTCTATAACCACATGTTTTATTACGCATTATATTTATAACTGTACTCACGTATTGATGGAGCCTGTACCTATTACTGTCGTCAAGTAACACATCAATGAGCGAGAAAGACGTATCATCTAATATCTCCTTCTTATAAATATAGAACTATACAGATTACTATGACTATGAGCTTTTTATTTAGAACCCATTACCATGCACCGCAAATCATATAAGCTGAAGCGCGATAAACGCTTAGTTCTGACAATTTTAACTGAAAAGTCGAACCGATCAGTTAATAAGGTGCGTTAACCAAAACTAACTGTACAATTAACTGACAGATAAAACTTTACCTACACACGCACCTAACTGTTCAGTTAAAACTGAACGTCTGTAGCTGACTTAAGATGTTTATTTTAACATGGTAATTTTGGAAATCGTCAATTTTATATCATTATTTTATTGAATTTTAATTAAAGAAGATTTATTAGATCACTAGCTTTCGCCCGCGACTCCGTCCGCGTGGAATTAAAAAAAAACAATAGTTAGTAGCCTCTGTGTTCTTCCAAACTGTCCTCAACATCTATACCAAATGTTATAGAAATTCGTTCAGCCGTTTAGGCTACAAACTCTAACAAACATCCATCTATCCATCCATCCATCCATCAAAACTTTCGCATTTATAATAGTAGTATGATTAAGGTTATTATAAAATATCGTTTTTTTTTAGCCGAGTAACGTTGCTAGGCAACAATGGTTTAACACATGATATCGATGACAACGATATATTCTTGAATACCCATAAATTGTTGCGGACTTTTAATTATAATTAAAATATTTGTTAGATTGCTTTTTGAAGCTACATACTAAATGTATTTAATAAAGTTACAAACGCTGATATTTCCATCGAAGCTGTACAGATTATATTCGAGTTCAATAAACGATCTGTTTTGGACAGAGATCAAACTTACATTCACAAACACATTTAAAAATATCTCACTAATTAACAATTTCAAGTACAATTTTCAACTCTACGTGTCATAAACGTTACAAATGAAATCCAGCACAAGGTCTTACTGCATATTAAAATAGGTACATCTTTGAGGCCTTTAACATACATTATTTACGAACATACAAAACGTGACTCTGATGAAATGTGAATATTAGGTAAATTTTTCGATACATATAAATATTTTATGATCACACTCTCGAGTGTTGCTCCAAGTCTTTTAATTCCACATTTACTGTAACTTGTACACTACTTTTACTATGATTTATCTTCAGTTTCAGTTGTAGCTTATATATCTTGTTATTGTTCTTATCTTACGGGGACCATTTCCTTTTAACTGTCTAATCTGCCAACTGTCTTGTAATCACTAAATAACAAACTGTAGCAACACTTTATTAAATGATACTAAATCAATATTATAAATTCAGCAAATCTTCTAAGGAAGTCATAGGCTTTGTTATATACAACACTAGTTTTCGCCCGAGACTCCGTCCGCGTGAAATTAAAAAAAGAATATAAAACCTATGTTACCTACTGACAACATAGCTTTTTAATGGTGAAAGAATTTTTGAAATCGGCCTAGTAGTTTTTGAGTTATTTCATTACAATCAAACCATTTCCTCCTCATAATAATAATAATATAGTATAGATGTATAGATTGTGTTTACCGACGACACCGGGCACAAACACTTATTAAAAAGAAACAGGTTAACAACCAACCTCATAGACCTATACAAGATAGGCACTGAAGCAAGAAAGAAGAAACGGCAATAAGTGATTACGTAGGCGGACTCGAAAGCTATTGAAGCAAGCGTTGTTTATAGCTTTCGATTTTCTTCCAAATAAGGTTATACGAATATGACCTTTGTGGTGTAGACATAGAATATAGACACGGAATACGTTATATTTAAGAATCAACGATATCAAATAAAAAATAAAAATAACTTTTCTGAAATATTTTATATATAAATTAGTTACGAAGTATTCCAATTTCTCTGAATAATAAAATATTGTCCCATATTACCGTTCAAAATATGTTCTAAACACTATGTCATGTATATTTGCAGTGTTTAATATCGATGTATAAAGTAATACAAGGAAATTTATAAAGAATTGATGGATTTAGAGTTGACAAAATAAAAATCGTTACAAATTTATCACTGCATCAAAGTATTGATATATGACATTTATTGATATATTTATTTTTCCATGTGTATAATATAAAATTATTGAAGGGTAATGCTGTTGCAATTAAACTCTACTCAAGTATTATTCAAAGAACCTGTAATTAATAGTGACATTCAAACGTTCCCATCAAGTGGCGCAATGAATAATCCAACCAAGCGCTAACCATATTAACAACACATTAGAACTCTTTTTCATTATTAAACAAACGAAGCATAACAAAAAATGCCTTCAAAACGATAATAATTATCTCCAATAACAACCTATGAATCAGCATTTATAACCTTACATTTTATAAATGCAGTCATTATAGGTGTACCATGTACAGGACAGCCGACATGCCAGAATAGTCGGATAATATGCGGTCGGAGCACCTCGACCGATGTCAGAAAGTAATCTGGTGTATAAAAAAAATGATGAACCCGACTCGTCCGCGGCAACGCGACAAAGTCGGAGAGATCGCAGAAAGATGCCAAGGGGCAGGCGGCGTCGGCACAATTTGACACGTTCGGGTAACAGCTATAGGCAGTAACTCTCGTTAAACATAGGTACCTATATCTAGTAAAGCAGTGAGGCCGTCGACAAGGCGCGGTTGTGAATGCAATTATTTCATGCTCGATGCTTGCGTATCCGCCATGATTGTTAACGCATTCGATATTCGAATTTTAAATCGTCTCTAACTTTTGGCATTGTTTGCCCAAATTGTTTTGATTGGATCAAATTCTGTTTCGTTATCGAGTGTGATGTAATCGAATATTATCTGGTATTACAATAGCGAGGCATAACATAGCATCATACATAATCTTTTGTATATGAATGGAATACCATTTTCATGACCTTGTTTCTTTATTTATCTTTCGTAAACATTAACTACAATTAAAAAGAACTATCTTCAGGTGATAATATTAGTACTATTAGTGCATTTAGGAATTTAAAATTGTTCTTTAGGAAGCTAATCGCATTAAAAGCCGGAAAAACATTTGAAGTGATATTATGTAAATATTTGTATAGCTTCGTAATATAATGAATAAGTAAGTGATCGGAAATAAATATGTAACTTTCACAAACTTTCGAGCCTTAATATTGAATATAAATGAGATATCAAAAGTTCAAGTATAAATATTTTATGTTTTCATTGATTTGTAATCAGGTATTGAATACAAAATAAATACGGTGACATAATGCTATACAAAATGCATTAGGTACTTAGACACGCTTAGCACATTGATGTTCTATTAATAGACTAGGAGAAAGCGATTGAAGTTAAGTTATTGCAAATTAAAAGCGATAAACTAATATAACTTAAAAAAAGAACTTTACCTTTTTATAACACCGGCGAAGAACACAAAGTTTTTATTATACTTTTCACCACCAATTTTGTATTTGAACAGTCACAAATAAACGAAACGATATTTTTACAGTCAATATCAGCTAATTTAATACATAACGTATTACAAAGAAAACGTGTAATGTACTCGCGAAATAACAGTTACAATCTCTCGCCGTTAAAACACCGAACGAACCAGCATTCGGAACGTCAGAGGATTTGAAATAAGAACGCGATGCCCGCAGCTAGTCGCCACTAAAATTATTGATTTAGCAGCGTTACAAAACAACAAAAGATATAAAACGGGCCGGCTGCACACCCCCGCGCGGGCCGAATCGATCAGAATGATAATTGTCGCGCACAAAGACTGGTGACTACTCACCTAGACAGACGGAATGCACACACCTAAAACAACAACACACACAATTTATGTCAACAATGTTTCAGATCACAACGTTCATGCACTATTCCGATGTACTTTGGCACTTATTTATTATGTTTTTATTGTGTTAAACGGTTAATTAGTGCGAATTAAAAGCGATTTATGTCGCGGAGACGCGAGCAATTCGACGACCGCTAGCAAGATGGCTCCGCGTATGCCGCGCGGCGACCGCCCCCCGCGCGCCGCGCGTACGTGCAATGAAAGATAGGTGGCCGCTACACAAGGCAAACAGAGAACGCTGACTAGTCCGGAGATAAATAATGTTCCGATTTGTTAAATGAATATGTTCAATTTAGTTTTATATTATATTTCTTGTTTTCACACTATTATGGTATTAAATAGCAGTGTTAATAAATATTTTAGTAAAAAAAAAAATCAACGGTTGTAAAATAATAAGGAACCCAAAATCACTACTTCGAAATGTGAGGATTTAAAGTAATTTGAATATGTATTTAAAAATGAAACATTTCAAGTAGTTTTTAAAAGAAAATTCCTTTAAAAAGCAAATTAATTTTTTTTGTTAAAATACTTGAAATACTGCAGCTTTGTTTTATTTTTTCAGGCAACCATGTATAAATTTGAACAGTATAATTTCAAGGATAGTTTGGTACTTTGGTTCAGTTTGAATAATATCTTGCGATCAATCCCGAGATATGAGGTCTTGTGCAGTTGTACCGCAGTTCTTTCCCTTCACACCGCTTTGCCGTGCGGAGATCGCCCCGCACCCCGCTCCCGTCCTGTCCTCTGCCTACCGACCTCTTATATACTGCTCTCTTTACAACAAAAAAAACACCAATTTCCCAAATTCCCGAAGCGGACCGCGCGCTCTCTCGCTCGCGGCAGACCTAAGATGGCCGCCCGCTTCCATTTTGATCGCAGATTACATTCGTCGCGTCCCTCGACCGATTGTTCAAAGCCTAAACGATGCGGCGTCCTGCCGTTATCGTTCGCTTTGTAAACGTATCGCACACGTATTTAGGCTATTTTTTCCCGTCCGACGCGACGGTGAAGTTAGATTTCGCATAACGCGATCCGTTTTCGCGTAAGCATTGTATAAAATGGCCGACGCTGTCAGTTTAGATATAAGCGAGAACATCGAGATCCGGTTATTGTATTGATTGAATGTACAACGGCCCCTCGGTGCGGGGTTGAAAGAAAGTCCGTAGCCGGTCTAAATGGCCGCGTTAAAATGTAGCCGGGTTACGGCCGTTGCGATGGTTTTGTCTCTTTCGTTATTCCGGAGTCCTCTCTACCTGCCGCACACGACATAAGCGGCAATAAAACAGCTACCTAGCTAGTTGAGAGGGATTTGTGCACGGTAAAGCGAACCATCCCAACTCGGGCGAATCACACTATCTAACGGAATAATGTTCTCTCTATTTCAATATTCAAGCGGTCAGCTTAGATTAGATTTAATTCCATATTTCATTCAACATTCTTTGTAAAATATATGTTTACACACCTACTAACAACTTGATCACTATTTAAGTGTTCATTTAATTCATTAATTTAGATACACTATGTTGTAGTTTCTTTAACGTTTTTGTATTAAACAGTTTGGTATACATAATTTAACATTGCATTGTAAACACGACCTTATTTCAAAATTGTATAAAGCTTACAATGCAGTATCGCAATAATATTTTTACCTTATCACAAAATAAGCTGTTTTGTATAAATTATACAAATAAACAAAGAAAACCTTTAAGTTGTTAAACCATATCGGTATTATAATTACGATAAAATTCGTTGTTACAACAAAAAACAAGAAAAAGACATGGAAGAGCGCAAAGACTTCGACATGCTGTTTAGTTTACATTACTTTTATTGCCTATTCCAGTTTTTTGGCATATTTTTCGCTATTATTTATTAAGACAGACAGGTGATTATAAAAGAATGCCACGACATTTAACAAAATGGTCGATTCCGTTTTTATACTAGTTCATATAAATAGGAATTTGGTGGCCAGTATTAAAATTACTCATGACTATATGGCATCGTATAGCTAAAAATTCTTAATTAAAATTGCCGAACAGAAGAGAATTGAAAACTTACGAGTGTGTGCGCATATTACGTTTTAAGCAAAACTGTTTAAAATATAAGTCAAGCAAATATAGAATATAGATTTAATTCAATGATTATGAAATGTACATTTAGTAATAAATCATAACATACTAAATTATATCATGGCGTGATACTGTGATGATACCTTCTAACGCCATCTATCGTTACAAAATTCAAATAAGCATTTATTTTACTAGAACTGCTGATGTTACCCAACATCAAGTTATACACCGAACAACAATTAGTTGGTAATTGATTTCTTCTGTAACAGTTGGACATCAATAATTATTATTTTGCAATAGATACTAATTGCCCATAATAACATGATATGCTAACGAAAAGCCAAGGTATTTTTTATAATCGCTTTTGTTTAATGTCAATAGTCTTTTTATTTCAGAGATTAAACACGCCTTTTAAAATAAGCAACAAGTCCCTTTTGATTTTATTTAGTTCAAGATTCGATAATTTGAAGAACCCATTTAAGATTTGTACAAATAATAAATGATTGATTTCGTTTTATATTATGAAGGCCGAGGTCGAGACAGTAAATACCCATCAACCCCTGCTCTGCGAGCCATTGCATCTTTGTGTGAATATTTCGTTATTATTTATATTGTCCATAACCAGCATAAAGTTATAATCATTAATTTGGAAATGTCCAAGTAGAAGTACTATATTGACAAAGTTAGTGTATAAGAATTAAGTTGGTTATGCTTTTTTGTGTGTTTTTATAATTATTGCAATACTCTCACCCTAATATTTACAACCGTCCAATAAAGTTTATAGAAGTTAAGACGAACTATACAGAATAAAAAACGTAAAAGTAATTTAACGGCATACTTTCAAATTGCACTAAGTAAAAGCATTGTAAAAGCGGTCAGTCACTTCACGCTATTACGTTAAACTATAGCTGACTCACTGGGCGATTAAATATTAAGACGTCCACGTCCGCAATGCCAATAAACGACGTAAAAAAACTCATTCTTCTTTATTATTTTATTGAATTACTATCCCACTTTAACTCCCTTCCGCTCCTCGCTCCCGCAATCTCGTACTAAACGTTGTCGTGATTTGTTTCATGTTTGAGGTTAGGATTTGTATTATATATAAAAATTACTGTAAAATTATTAAGAATATTGAAATTGAATTAATTAATATGATTTAGTTTTTATAGTTGAACCCGTAATGCGCTGCTCCTATTCTAATATAACTGTTTTAGTGCAACCAAAATTGTTTTAAACCTGGCAAATATCTTTTTAGAACATAAACCTTCTCTGACGTTTTAGGTTATTCCACAAAAAAAATGACGAAATCAAAATGTTTTTTTACTTATAAGAAAATAAATGAATTTTATAATATTGTTGTATTTTCTTTAAGAATCCTATCATGTATCGTCTCATTTCCGCGTGTACAGGATATATTCTTGGAATATAATAAGTGTACTTGTTAGTACAAAGTATAAAACACACAGTTGCGTGTTATCGTGATGTATAATCGTTATGGAAACATTAACAGTTGCCTACATTTGAATGTATAATAAAAGAAGCGAGACGTAAACGAACACAATGTTTTACACTTGTTTTACTGTGGTTTTTGACTGCCAAAACACCTGTGTTGTGTTGACAGTAACTGTTCGTCCACGACGCTGTTCCAGAGTTCGCCATAACTTGTGACAGAAATAGTTGCCGTATACCGTCACGGAATAGGTATCTAAAATGATAATAGTGTTTTATATAACCGCAATTTTAAAAGCAATAATAAGGCAATAAAATGTTTTTATCTCCTAATGCTATACAAGATATCAAGCGATCGCAGCGCCACACCGTGAGATTTAAAATAAACCACTTATGCCATTACTTGAATGATTTTTTGCAATACATTCGTACCTGTCAACTGCTTTCCGTCGATTGTAACATAGCATGCGCCAATATTCCACGACCTCCTAACACCAGCAATGCCTCACCTTTCTTATCCGATTTCTGCACCGGAGCGGGAAACGAAGGGGGTCAATAAAACTGGACGGTCCATTCGAGGGGGCATCGACCTCGAAGCTAGAGTGTAGCGTTTCCAGCAAGACGACACAGTGTCGGCAGTTTTAATAACTCACTAAGGCATTGTGTTACATAGTGCGATGCGATCTTCCGTGTTGTGCAGATAGAAAGGGATGTAGCGATGTAAAGACCGGCGCACGGCGTCGCCGGCGTGCATACATGTCGTTGCGAAATTGCTCAGTGGAAGCCGTGGGGGCTATTTTCTGACCGGCGCGATTAAAAGTCAAGTATAAAGCTGTACGCTCGTGTACTTACAACGTACAGCGGATATATTGCTGGCAGCCGGCTTGATCGGAATCGAGATAAATAGACAATTGGAAGAAAAATAATTCCTCACATTTATTTCACTACCTATTCTATACAGAAAGTCATAGCACAAATCGTATCCCATTATTAATTGCAGACAGAATTATCCTTAACCAGTTTAATTGCAAATAATTAGTATCACGTTTACATTAACGTTTTTTAACGTATGGATACTCGATGATAGCTACAGGTGGAGCTAATCTGCAATTATTTTTAGGGTTATGTTTTAAATACAACCGTATACAGACAATTATCGGTGATTGGGAGACCATAGAGTTTTTTTCAGCATTATGGATCTATGGATGGCCGCAAAAAAGTACG